GATAGGATAAGGTGGGAATTAGGCTTCTGTGTCACTGCATGTCAAGAAATGTACACGTCTGTCTTCGGAGATGGTTATATAGTTGTTGCATTTATACTTCTGTGAATGTTAATGTTTTAGCTAAGGAGTGCTAAAACAAGCACAGAAAACTTACCAACAATCAGATCAACCCATCAACATGCAGGACGTGTATCTCCACACAACGCATAGTTGAAATTTGGGAGGTGTGCATACCAGCCCGTCTGCAGCCATCTGCAACCTATGCTTACCCATCAACCGCTTTGCAGTGTAAGTATGCGTCAATGCCTACGTCCACATCAGTCTAACTCAAGCTTAACACTTGTTGGAGTAACCTCAAGAGGGGAGGGGTGGACCAAAGAGTAATCCACACCAAAGGAGGTGGAAGGTGGGGCTGTATACCTATAATGAAAGTTAGGATAAAAACTCCAAAATAATAATAAAAAAGATAGCAAGATACTTTTATCTTGTTGCATTGTATTTGTATAAACGACTCGACAAGTTGGATGTCAGATGCTGAGATTCCTCCCTAGACTAGAAAACTTTCCTGTAGCTAATGAGGAAAAATGATAATGAGGTGATAAAATGCACACAGCACAAAGCTACATGGAAATCTGGTCACTAATGTTATTGGTGTTGAGAAAGAAGTGATTTTCCAAAGCAAAAAAACAATGAGAATATGGAATTTTAAATGTGTAAATCAAGGAATCCTAGAAATATTAAAGCAGGGATGTTAACATATTACATGCAGTATTTTAGGAATAAATGCAGTTTAAGTGGACCAGAATGGGTTATTTTAAATCAGAAGTTTATGTGATATTCAGAGCAAGAGCATATGCAAAACAGTTGGAGTGGCAATAATTCTCCAAAAGTACAATGCTAAGTATATGGTTGCCTATAAATTAATAAAGAGAACCATATCTATTAGAATTAGTGACTATTCAATGAGCACCAGCTTTAAATAAGTTCTATGCACCTAGCATGGCTGTAATGGCAGAGGACACAAATTATATGGAAAAATGTAGGGAGTGATAAACAAAATTATAGAAAGAATGTAATCCTTTAATGGGGTGATTGGATGGACAAAGTTGGAGAAAAAGAGATACTTGGAATTAGGAGGATTTGAATTGGAAAATGCATCAGAATAGGAAAAAGGTTAATAGAATTTTACTGAGAGAATTCTTCGTTCATTTTGTCAAAACCTGCTTTAGCCAACATACATACAAGCTTTATGAATGGACAACACCAGATGGACAATGTCACAATCAAGTTACTTAATGGAAACTGAAGATGGATAAATGCATCCAAATAGCCACAACACTTCTAAGTGCAGAATGAATTTTGGTGTCCAAAATAAAGGTTAAGCTTTACAAAGAAATAAAGGATAAACATATACTAGCAGCTGGAGGACACACAGTCTGAATGCAATATTTATTTTGATGTACTGGATTTATATCTGCCTTTCATGCAGGATTGAAGGCAATGGATATGGCTATGAAAAGAAGCAAGAGGCATCACATGAAAAACAAAGCAGACAAAAATATTCCCCAAAATTTAAAAAAGAAATTTAAGTGACTTTCAGAATGACTTTTCATATGACCAAGGAAAGACAGAAGACAAATAATCAGAATCAGAATAGAGCTGGCAGGGATCTTGGAGGTCTTCTAGTCTAGCCCCCTGCTCAAGCAGGAGATCCTATACCATTTCAGACAAATGACTGTTCAGTCTTTTCTTAAAAACCTCCAGTGATGAAGTACCCACAACGTCTGAAGGCAAGCTGTTCCACTGGTTAATTGTCCTACCTGTTAAGAAGTTTCTGCTTAATTCCAGTTTGCTTCTCTCCTTGATTAGTTTCCAACCATTGTTTCTTGTCCTGCCCTCTGGTGGTTTGGAAAATTAGTTGACCCCCCTCCTCTTTGTGGCAGCCTCTCAAATATTGGAATACTGCTATCATGTCCCCCCTATTTCTTATTTTCTCTAGACTAGCCAAACCCAAATCCTGCAACCGTTCTTCATATGTTTTAGTCTCCCGGCCTTTGATCATCTTCTTATTGTTCTTATATTATTATTATTATTATTGTTGTTGTTGTTGTTGTTGTTGTTGTTGTTGTTGTTATTTTCTTATTCAATCATTTTAAATTCTTCTTATTGATCAAAAGTCTTTGATAAATAAGAAGAATTTAAAATGACTGAATGCAGATTTTCAACATCAAACAAGAAGTAACTGGAAAAAAGTCAAACACAGAAAAATTAACAAGAAAAGAAAAATGAAAGGTATTTTAAAGATTAGTGAAATTTTTAAAGTTTGCCAACAGCTATAGATCAATACTTATAGAAAACATGATGTAGCCTGGTGCTTGGAAAAGACTGGTGTGCACACCTATATAGAACAAGAAAGATGCAGGAGAAAGTACGTATTATTCATCCACTAAACTAATTCTTCAAGAATGAAAGTTTTACTTAAAATCTTAGAAAGAAGAATAGAGTCATATATGGAAACAGAAAAGATAACTGAATAGGCAAATTTCAGAAAAGACAGAGACACGTTAGATCACATTGGTAATATAAGATGGAGACTTTATCAGAGTGAGCTAAATGAATGAGTTTTTATCTTTACTCAATAAAGCAAGTTTTTGACTATGCTGATCATGCAAGAATTATGGATCTGAAAACAGTTACCTAGAATAACATGAGTGCAAGAAGAATTACCAATCAATTGGTCTTTGAAGAAGTAAAATGACTGCTCCCTTGAACCTGATTATTAGCAAGCAGAAGCCCATATATTTTTGACATGTGATGCAAGCAGATGATGGACTAAAAAAAATGATTATGCCTGGCGAAGTTGAAGGAAGTAAAAAATAATGTATTATGTGCACGGGCAGGATCAGAATGATCTCTGCAAGTTTTATAGAAAGCATCTCTACTTTGTGCATTTTTTTTGTCTCACCTTTCCCCTATGCTAGCCATTCCCATATTTATTTATGTATTATTTATTTAATTTATATTTCATATTTCTAAACCACCATCTCCTCCAAAGAAGTCCAGTCTAGACATTGTAATCAGCTATGTGACATAAACAAAGGTTACACGCATGGTGAAAAAGCAGAAAATGTATAGCACATAATGCTTTTCCATGGTTACTCTTTATCAACTTAAAACCACAGTTCCAAGCAATAGGAACAATTCAAAGCCAAAATAAAAAGCTGATCGAGGAAAAAGTTCAGTCTCCCACCCATGTTGTTTTGCTTAGTGCAACTTCTAAAGTCTGCTTTTCAAATGTCTTTAAATACACACAAAACAATATTAATTCTAACTTTGGACAACATCTAGTATGGCCCAAAGAGGAATTTGAATACTGTAGGAATGTGTGGTGAACTAAAAGGACTTCATATTATTTGCTCCTATAAAACTATTGATGAAAAATATAAAATCTCAAATTCTGTTTATATAGAGAGTTTCAAAGGAGTATCATTATTTCTACTGAAACACTTTCAGCAAAAATTGTGTTCTTCATAGTTCATTTAAGACATGATCAGACAGGGCTGTAAAACATGACTTTAATAAAGCTAATTGAAGACAAGGACAAGAAACTTTCAGAGGATAAAGTTTTGTTGAAAAAGTGCTCAGTCTAAAGGTCACACTAGCCTAATTAATTTAAAATGATAAACATTCAACAAACATAGAGGGAATAGCCATATGTAAACTTTCTCCACCTTAATACTGTCATTTCAGGAGTGTTCCAATTCTTCTTTCTCAACTGAGATATGAACAATAGGTTTACAACAGAGGCATTAAATGTTAAAATTCTTCAGGGAAAGTTTCCAGCTTGATAGTCAGATAAAGAGTATACTTTTTCAGAAGGCAAGTTGGGCATCTGATTATCTTTTGGGGCTTTTTTATGGATTTATTTTGCTGATTTTTATTTTTTTTATTACTCTTGATTATTGGGATCTTGTTAATTATTGCCTGGCTATTCTGTCAGTTAAATTTTAATTGTTTTGTTACTTTTTAATTTTAATTCAACAATGTGAGGCACAACTTTTCTGCTAAGTAATAGATAAATAAACATCTTTCTTGATCCTGCTATCTGGAATGTTACAAACATGAGAAATGTTATTGGAAAAATATTGATCTAGTTTAAAAGCTATTTTAGCAAAGTACAGTGAAATTGATTAATCATGTAGCATTTTACAAACTTAAAAGTAGTAGTTATGACCCTATTAATTGGTTGACTAACAAATACCCAGAATTATAGTGTTTCAGAGCATTTATTACAGCATGCAATTTTGAATACATAATTCATATGCACAAAAGTGACTTTACTTAAATAATCTTAATTAATTATGATTATATGATAGTTTTATGGACAATATCCTAGGGCAAAGAAAATATATGTGTTGAAACAAATCATTTTACTTTTGAGATCCATCTTGCTGCCACATTTATTTATATTTACATTTACATTTTTATATTTTTATGAGCTTGTAATCCCTTAATTCAGGGTAGAGTCAGGGCGACTGGATGGAACTGAGCGTTTACTGGACGGATGCTATTCCTGACACCTACGTGGAATTTGCAGCAGATATTTTCTCTTTGTGTCCTAAAAGAGAAACAGGATTGAACTTTCAACTTTCTGAGTGGGAGACGAGCATCTTTACCACTAGGAAACCATGCCGCTCCACACAATTATATATATCAATTAAATAATTATACACTTTTAGTAGCACTGATAGAAATTAATTATAGCCTTTTGAAAAAACATGGTTTTCTTATCTTTACAAACAACACCATATTATTAATCTCTAGTATAAAAACAGGTATTTCCTTTAACTATTGCTGAATATTTATTATATTCTAAGAATACACAATACATAATTAGCTATGAGCACCATAATACAAACATCCAAGTAAATTTGTAAAGTTACATTCTTCAACTATATCATTGAATGGATGCTTTCCTAGGGATGGAATGTGAATATTACCTTCAGTACTCATGTCTGGTGTTGGCATCCAGACATAAGCAAGGCCTTCCTCTTTGTACAATTTCATGAGAACCTCTGGGCTCATTGGTTCTGGATAGCGGTTGCATCCCCAGGAATTCTGAACCACGTCCCATTCAGTCTGGAAATTCATTATAGCTGTAATGCCCAACTCATGTTTAAGTTTGATAGTCACATGTTCCACTTGACGAGGGCAACTTCCTAACCACAGATTTGGCAAAATCCTGTTCAAAGAGAAAAATATTGAACTAATGAATGTTAAGTGATTTATCTAAGTCAGCAACATGATTAATTGTGGGGTAGTCATTTTCTACAATTCATGTTTAAATAAAAACTTGCCAAATATCACTAGGAATTTGAAATTCAAGGAAGAAATGAAAGAAAGAATTATTTGTACAGACTAGAATGAACCCCCTCAAGCCAAATTAAAGGCTTTCATGAAGGACAAAGAAAAATGTATTTTGATAACACTTTCTAGCATCCTAAGAAGTCCACTTCATAATTTGGGCAGGTAATTTCTCATACATTACAACAACTGTTACTTATTGGACATAAAATGTAACATTGTACATAAAAAATCTGCTGTCAAATCTTGCACAGGGAAATCAAGTAACGGACCAATATTTGGCCTACAAAAACATTTAGCTGAATAATCTTGTTATTGATACTGAGTTCAGTTACTTGGACTTCTAAATTAGACTGCTAGTGAATTAGTTTGGGCATTATGAAACAAGTTATTTATCACTTGTATTGCATTATCATTCACATTCTAGCAGTTTACTCAGAAGACAATGTTCTTAATATCGACTTAAGAAATCCTCAGAGAGTAACCTATTTGTCAAATTACCTCATTCTTGTGAGGACTGTCACTATACATTATGATAACAAATTCTATCATTCTTCCATAGATACAAGGCTTGTCACATTTAATTGCATTTTAATGATGTTAGTTTAAGTCTTCCAGAAATGTGCTTCTCTGTAATGGTTTTGTTTTCCCATAGTGGTAACTAATATACTAAACACTGAATGATGCAATTTTAACTAGAGGGCCATTTATATGACATATGAGCCTTGTATGCTTCTTATATTTCTTTCTAAAAATTCAGCTTCTTGAATAAAATAATTCTCTCTTTCATCTGTATCTAAGCTAGTGAGTGTTTGACTAGACAGAGAAATTGATTCACATCAGAAAGTAGCTCACCAAGATAACTATATTTTTTACTTTCCTTTACGTTTTTGGCTTTTCATCTCTGTGCTCCAAGTCTGTTAACTCTTAGATAACAAAGTCATTTCATTACACAATGGTATTCAAGATGTGACAATGTGTAGAACAAAGGGTAGAAGGATGAGGGGTGACATGATAGCAGTGTTCCAATATCTCAGGGGCTGTCACAAAGAAGAGGGAGTCAAGCTATTCTCCAAAGCACCTGAAGGCAGGACAAGAAGCAACGGATGGAAACTAACCAAGGAGAGAAGCAACTTAGAACTAAGGAGAAATTTCCCGACAGTTAAAACAATTAATCAATGGAACAACCTGCCTCCAGAAGCTGTGAATGCTCCAACGCTGGAGGTTTTTAAGAGATCGGTCAATCTTTTGTCTGAAATGGTATAGGGTTTCCTGCCTGAGCAGGGGATTGGACTAGATGATCTCCAAGGTCCCTTCCAACTTTATTATTATTGTTAACGTTATACTCTTGAGCCTGATTTTGACCATAAGTCATTTCTAACCTTGACAACAATTCCTAAGACCATGTTTGTCTTTTATACTGTGTCTGTGGAATGATCCAAACAATTATCATCAGAAGGGTAGTTCTGTATGCTATTTTACATGACAAGTGATGTGGTCTTACTTCTAAAACTCACATTAAAAGTTAGTATATACTACAGAAATGGAAGAGAAATTATAAATGAATCACACTTTTTTTAAAAAAAAATCTTGTACTGCAGCCTGAAAAGTGATATTTAGGAGATTATCCCATGATCAAGTTCAAGAGTTCCATAAAATTACTAGAACTTAGAACTCTCATCCTAAAGTCTCGCTTTACATATTTGAAGAAAGACAAGAGAGAGAAAAGCATTAAATGAGTAAATTGGATGGCACTACAGACTTATAAAAAACAACATACACAAGACCAAATTGACTATACAAAAGATTGTGAATGATGTTGCTTAGACTTTATATCTAGCTGAAAATATTCATTATCCATGGTTCAGTGATACTAATGGAAAATGGACAGGGAAGCCAGCCCTGAAGAGATAACAAGGACAAAGCAATAATCTATAGCCATTCTTGGGTGCTATGAGGAGTAGCATGTAAGAAGTTTCAATTAAATATCCTCAGATGAGGGTATCTAAGAACAAATTACTTATCTTCATTAGAGCTGTGGTGGCGCAGTGGTTGAATGCAATATTGTAAGCTAATTCTGCCCACAGTCAGGAATTTGATTCTGACAGGTTGACTCAACCTTCCATCTTTCCAAGGTCGTTGATATGAGGACCCAAATTGTTGGAGGCAATATGCTGATTCTGTAAACCATTTAGAGAGGGCTATAAAGTATATAAGTATATAAGTCAAAGTGCTATTTCTATTGCTATCTTCATACTTCCTTTGCCCTATGAGCAACATGTCAGCCCCATTAGATAGACCAGACCAAGAAATCAACCCAACAGGAAGGCTAAAACTACTTGTATTGAGAATGGTTATAATAATAGTCTTGCAAGTAAAACTGTGTTGTACCTTATCTCCCTTCTTATATTTTAGTGAATTAGAGAGGTGTCTATATGAGTTGCTTACAAACATTATCTACTTGTTGTGGAAATGAAGTATTTTTCATTTCTCAACACCTGAGCAGTGAATCGAACATATCTCCATCAAGATCATCTTCTTTACTTTCTACACAATGTAACAACACCAAAGGAATTGAGGCTGGTTCTGAAAATGTTCAATTTAAAAAGGCAGTAAATAGATATTAAGAAAATGGGGTTTGATAAAGTCACTTTTACAATTACTATTCTGTCACAATACATTAAATTATTTTAACAATATCAGTGCACAGGACGAATGGATGATTTCCTTCCCCGCTCTGCACATTCTTAATTAAATTTGAGAAATCACTTTGAATGCACATAAAACTAGAACAAACTTTTTTCATTTAACCGTATGAATTTGTTTTTACCTACAAAAACATTACAAGTCTGCAGTTGTAAAATGTCACTGCTGTTCTGACACCATTTTGCACTGTAGAAAATTACCAAACTTGTAATCATCTTCTGGTTTCACAAGCAATTCAACCATGTCAAGAAGCAGTGTAAAAGCAAGCCTCTGTAAGCAGATTTCAATA